TTAGTTTTATTTTGTTTCCTACCTTTCCTTTCTCTGCCTGTAACCCCGTAATTCTTAAGAGAACAACCAGTTAAGTGTTTTGCCCATACTCAACACCCTCTTGCCTTATTTTGCTACACCATTTTAATTTTCTGAATTTTTTATATTAATCAATCAGGTATGTGTCAAATGGAAATAAAATAAGCTGTATACGCATTTTGGTGAAATACTTTATTTGCGATCACGACTCTCCAGGAATTCCCATTACTTTATAGCTTTTCTCACTTCAAGATCTGACATCCATTTACAAGGCGAAAGAGCTACCCAAAGTAGAGCGTTGCTGAAAGATTTTGTTGTGTGAGCGGTAAGAGTAACAGGCAAGAGGCGTAGTTTATGAGTTTATGAAGATGAAAGAAATACATTATTTACATTATTCGGACTATTGTCCTCATCTTTTTCGCCAAATTTATTACAACGTTTCGGCCGTTGTACGCTCCGGACTTCTTCAGGTGGTTGGAATGTCGAACTTAACCCTTTATTTCGTTCACTGGGGTAGACTGTTCTAGTTCCACGTACCGAAACGTTGTAATAAATATAGCGAAAAAGATGAGGACAATAGTCCGAATAATGTAAATAGTGTACATAATACCTCATCTCAGAAATATAGACAGATACTAAAGGGCCGAAACGTTGTAATAAATATGGCGACAAAGATGAGGACAATAGTCCGAATAATGTAAATAGTCTACATAATACCTCATCTCAGAAATATAGACAGATAATGAAAGAGATATTTCAGACTTATGAATTAATATCGGGAGTAGCAACTGAAAAGTTCTCAGCCAAACCAAAAAGAGATTAAAAAAGTAAACTGATGTTCGGCTTGTGGGTTTGGTTGAAAATATTTCAGCTGACTTTTAGTTACAATTTGCAAAAATACACCACTGTTCTTCTATATACCATGTCCCTTCAGGTGATCATAGCCCTCCACAATTTCCTGTCCTCTGAGGAAATGTTGTCTTTTTGCTATCTCCTAAAAAACCTTGTTCTGTCAATTACTTACAAAAATTCGTTTGGGTAGGTTACACGCAGCTTTCCTCTGTCCGTCTTGCCTTGGATATGTCCTGTGAGTGCCCTTTTTTCCAAGCCCTCTTTCCTCATTTTGTGTCTTAGAAATTTAAGTTGCCATTTTCTTATTCAAAGTAAGTGTCCTTTTTGTTTCCATTTTCCCAGAAACTTCGCCGTTGCCCTCGTGGTATTCTCGGCAAATTTCTGTGGAACCACATTTCTGGATTTGAATGGTTAGTCACTGAGAACAGCGACACAGAAAACGGCAGTGATTAGACTAATATACAGGGTGATTGAAAAGTAACTTCCTATTTTATGTATGATGGACTCTTCGTCTTGTAAAAATTATAGTTAGACGGAAGAGTCCATCATACATAAAATAGGGAGCTACCTTTCAATCATCCTGTATACTAAATGGAATAATTAAATTTAATAATCTTATGCGGCATGAGGGACACACGTGATCATGTATCTTTCGATACATGACTGACAAGGCAGATTTTTTCCTGCAGTAGATTGCCATTGCAGGACAGACGGGGTTCTATAACCTTGGATGGCAACTAGTCTACCTCAGAAAGATACATGATCGCCTAAGCGTGTAGCACATCACTGAGGTTGCCATTTCTTTCTGCGGTAGACCAGTTGCCATCCAAGGCATCTCGCTATGTCCTGCTATTTACTTATACCTTTCCCAAGGTTAGTGAATATAATGGATTCGACTGGAATTCGAACTCGGCTCTCCGATTCCTGACAGAGTCGGAATCCTTGGAATTAATCTTCTTCTGTTGTTGGTATAGAACCCGGTCTGTTCTATTTCATTTTTTTCATAACATTTTTCTGGGAGAAGAAGAAGAGGTTTCATATCTTTCCCAAGAGAATTAGCACGTAAGTGAATATAATGGATTTGACTGGAATTCGAACTCGGCATTCCTCAATCCGAACCGCTATCCATTACCCCACCGTGCGTACGTTCAATTAAATTTAAATAAGTCCTGAAATACAGCAGGCCTTAACTGTAATAAGACTCATGTTCTTGACAATGTATAAAAATCTTCGATTGCGCCGTTAAGTCCCTTCGGGCATAACGAGAAATCTGGAAGCTGCTTCAAAATAAATATCAAAGTTTACTTATTTCAAGAGATTGAAATGTTTTTCAGCTTTCAGCTTTTCTATGGCTTAACCAGATATCGCTTTTCGTTGTTTACTCTTTGAAATACCAAGAATTGTCATAATTAGGGTAAGGATTAGCGCTCCCAGGAATTATATACATGGAGAAGGCTCGTCTGTAGGGGCAAACGGAGTCTTTAATAATGTCTCTATAGGAATGGATTGATATTCTTACAAATAAAGAAAGAAGAAAAAAAAAAAGAAATATTTTTTTTCTTTTAATCTTCAATCGGATATGTTTGCAAATGGAAATAAAATAAACTGTATACGCATTTGGTGAAATACTTTATTTGCGATCACGGCTCTCCACGAATTCCCATTTCTTTATAGCTTCTTACACTTCAAGATCTGGCATCCGTTTACGCTCAACTTATTAGGTAAGTTATTCGTTGTTTCTCTTTGCAACTCTTGCCTTTATTATGCCTTGTGAGGTTTTTTTTATGACTGTTCCCTTTAGATTATAAATGTCTCTTTCTGATTCTAAGTATTAGGTTGGTGCAAAAATAATGACGTAATGATGTCGTTTTTGACGTCAAAAAATAACGACATTATTACGTCATTATTTTTGCACCAACCTAAATGTCTTTTTCGTTCCCGTTGTCCTTATAGCGACCTCATTAATCACATGTTAAGTCCGTGGCATTCTCAGCATCCTCCTGTAGAGAAACAATATTCTTACCTCCAATGTCCTTTTCATCTTTCACTGTCGTCCTAATCATCATTATCCCCTTGACTTTTGTCATCATAAGGGCGGTCCGATTGCAGAAGCCATATTGAATCTCCTCCACGACCGTCTATGAAAGGCTGCCATCAGCTATTCTGATATAGTCATACTTGAAGTGGATAATAAATTAATTTAAAATACTTTCTATTTAATGCCTTCGTTGCTATAATATGCTAATATAATTTGGCAATTAATTAAAATTGCTGCAGAAGTTTTGTCAAGAAACCACTCAAAAACTAGGGCGAGAATAATCAATGAATTAATAAAGGTTCAATCAACTTATCTTTCGACCGACCTGAAGGACTCGTCTGATAAATCATCCGAGCCTAATGAGCGTTGCTTCGCGAAACCTTGAAGTCGGTCGAGAGATAAATCGATTGGAGTTTTAGTAATTTATTTACTATCACATATATATGCATGTATGTTCATATCACAATAGCAAACATTGTCTTTGGCCCCCGCAAAAATAAATAAAATAATAATAAAAATGAAGTAACATAGTGAAAATGTCGACGAGGATATTTCTAGAAGATAATGAATTTAGGGCGAGCAGTCTTTGTAATTAAAGAGCCCAATATCAAAGGAGAGAGCATTGATAATGATATTAAGGAGTTACTGAGAGCGATAGAGAATGAGAACATTTTAGTGAGGAGAAAGGATTTCCAGAAATCAGTTCTGCGAATAAATTCACTTCCTATAAATGAAGTCAATTTTACTGTTAAGTTGCCTGAGAAGTCGACGCTATCTCCGTGAAATTTTGGGGGAGGAACAAATAAGTTCACAGACACACATACACACACACCTGCGCGTGCGCGCGCACACACACACATAGACACACAGTGCCTAAATTATATTTTAATTTAATATATTATTTTGAATAAATTATTTTTTATAACGAAACGAGAAAATTGTCAGTTACTGATATCTCCTGACGAGAGGACCGAAAAATTACACAAAGGTTTGTCTGCAAAAATCTGGAGTAGAAGCTCTGAATATAACATCACTCAGCTAAGTGACACGTTTGTATTAACCCCCTTTCACTTTCTGTATATCTATCTATCTATCTATATATATATTATGAAATGGACAAAGTATGTTTGTACGTTCTTTTTATAGATACAAATATTTAAGTAAATGTTCTGTTTTATAATAAACAGTATTAACGACATTTACCGACCTGAATGTCCGAGAAATTTTCATAGAAAATATGCGTCCTCCGACAGGAATCGAACCTGTATTCTATACGGAACCGTCATATAGCCTGACGTGCCTTTAACTGATTTGGCCACAGAAGAGAGTTCGGTTAGCAAGGCCGATTTTACTCTTTTTAAACTACAATTTTCCATGATTTTCTCACGTACATTCATATCTGCTCGATGCATATCCAAATGTAAACAAATGACGTCACACATTATGAAATGGACAAAGTCCGACAATTATTTTAAGACATATTCGGTTTCTGTGGCTGAATCGGTAAAAGCACGTCAGACTGATCAAAATATGCTGTCCCCCCCCATTAAATCTATCACAACATAAATTGAAAAGAATTTATCTAAACTCAACATAAAATGTTGCACAACGTTTGTAAAACAACAAGAACAAAAACAAACCTCACAATTGATGCAAAACAAAAACTTGAAGAACGAATTTATTTTATTAACTGTAAATGAATACCACAAAGAAGTGCTCACCACAATGAGACTGTCCAAAGTTTGGATTTAAAAATGCTGTTCTATTTAAAAGAGAAAACAATTTGTTATAATGGAAGTCTTTAGAAAGTGGTTTAATCGCTAATCGTAAATGGGCCTCCACGGTTTTACAATGTTTCGACATTTTTCGTAGATCTTCTGTCACAATGTGCAGTTATTTAATGACAAAAGTGAGGGAAGCATAAAGAAAACAAAATATCGAAATTATAGATTATATACCCAAAACATATATAAAAAAAAAAATTAAAGCATCCACATTCCTTCGTGCGCATGTGTAGTCTAATCGACGTAAACATCACTTTAGTCTGAAGAAGTCCTAAAGGTCGAAACGCGTCACATAAAAACTTTTCCAGTTTGTCATAATTTTTTCCCCCAAATTGTTCTTGATATATAATAAATTCATATATCATTTTCCCCTATCTATCTATCTATCTATCTATCTATCTATCTATCTATCTATGCCCGACTGTCCTATCTATCTATCTATCTATCTATCTATCTATCTATCTATCTATCTATCTATCTATCTCTTTCTTTACTTTCTGTATCTATCTATCTATCTATCTATCTATCCAAAGAGAAATATCTATCTATCTAAAGAGAGAGAGAGAGAGAGAGAGAGAGAGAGAGAGAGAGAGAGAGAGAGAGAGTAATTGAATGTAACAGACAATGAAAGAAGGTCATGTTTTTAATCAACCTTTCTTGGTTGACGATATATAAGTAAACATTGGCTTGTCGGTGGCCAGGGGGAGTGAGGCCTGGGCACAAATCAGTACCTGGGAAAAGAAACAGGCGGAGTCCAAACAGACCCTGGCTACCGGATGTTCCCTGCAGCACCTGCCAGACGAATGACGTTGTCAGATTTCTCATGCCACCGGAAGAATCTCTATTGAAGCGAAAATGGTCGGATTGAGAAATGCGCATCCGCAACTCTCATCACCCACCCCGACCCCACCCAGCACCTTAATCCCTGCCATTGTGCAAACCTCTAGTTCCAGGGATGGATCTAGCATCATAATCAGAAACAACTGTTACCTGAATGACAACACACACACACACACACACACACACACACATATATATATATATATATTTTGTATTTGGGCAGCAAATAAAACATTCCTATAATTTCAGACACGTACAGAAGAAAAACACGCATTCAGCTAACATATTAAAAAAATCGTCCTTGATAATGGCTAGAAGAATAGCCGAAAGCGTTTTTGAATAGTTTTTACACACTTTGAGTCCATAAAAGAAACCACTTGTACGAACCCAAGAAAAATGAAATAAAAAGCTTAATCGCAGTACCTTGTCATAAGAAACCTGTATATATATATATATATATATATGTAAAAATATATATATATATATTATATGTAAAAGGAAGGCAGGCAGGCAGGCAGGCACGCACGCAGGCACGCACGCACGCACGCGCGCACGGACGGTGGAGTAATGGATAGCGGCTTGGTTTGAGGAATCGCAGAGCCGAGTTCGAATTCCAGTCGAATCCATTACATTCACTTACGTGCTAATACCTTGGGACAGGTATGAATCCTCTTCCTCCAGCTATGGGTAAAATAGCAGGACAGACTGGGTTCTATAGGCTTGGATGGCAACTGGTCTGGGCGAAGGACAACTCTGAATTCAAAACCTGCGGAGGGTCGTTTGATCAACCTTCGGCATTCGGTGCACCAGGTCTCTGTATTCGTCCATTCAAAAAGTGTGGATGGTCCTGCACGAGGCCTTCATCACTATAATCAAATATCCGGTGTCGGGCTGTCAGTTTCCTGAAACTTATCTGATCTGCTTGAGCCTCATACGTCGAATGTCGACGGGAGAGTAGATTTATTATATATATATATATATATATATATATATATATATATATATATATGTATGAATGTATGTATGTGTGTGTGCTCGGTATTTATTGGAAAGCGTTCAGTATTAGTTGGACTGATGTGAGTTTGTGACCCTGGGTTTCACGCTATTTGCGATCGTCAGACAATAAACAATTTTCGATCACAAATAGCCTGAAACTCAGCTTGTCTACGCTAGTCATAGTTGGTCTTAGCTGGTTCAAGCTATGATACTACCATCGCAGGGACGGATACCTGTGACCAGTAAGTATCAGAATGTATATACTCCTCCAAAGAGCGATTTACACCTTTTTTCAAAGTTTAGATGTGGCACAAGGCTGAAAGTATGGGGCATCTATTGAGGATCGAACTCACTTTTCAGTCTTACCTGATTTAGCGAGACAAGCTTGCTAACCATTGCACTACGTTGAGGTGGCCAAATAGTTATTTTCTAAGTGTAGCGTAGATGTGGCACAAGGCCGAAAGGATCGAACTCACTACTCAGTCGTAATTGTTCTAGCGAGAAAAGCTTGTTAACCATTACACCGCCTCGAGGTTGCCATTACTTGTCTTATTTGTAACTGTGCCGTCGTCTGTTCGTCTTTTATTACGTCTGTCGTTAAGGCATGCGTTTTATTTTCGGACGTTAAATGAAACTGCCATTTTTTTCTTTATTTTTTAATTATTTCACTCCAAGCAAGGCGATAAAGCCCCTAAGATGCAAGAGAGGGTGGTTACAAAGTATGAAGGAAATTGAAAAAAAAAAAACAAAAAACGTTATTGAGGAGAAAGAACAATAAGAAAACAGGCCTAAAATAGACTATAAGGATTGACAATGAATTTAAATTTTTGATGAATATAGTTAACAGAAAAGCAATAAGCCAGAAGAGATTACCATAAGCTATAAACCTGAGAAAATAAACTTTTACTATAGAACTCACGGTTGCAACTAGTAATTTCAGTGATATGATAATACCTAGCCGACAATCTGGTCTTTTTCTTTCTTTTTAGGCGATCATGGCTCTCCACATTTCCCTATCCTTTGTAGCTCTCAATAAGTTTCGTCTCTCTACCACCTTCCCCAGACCACGTTCTGTCATCCACTTGCTTAAGCTCGTCATGTATGTCATGCGTTGCTTTCCCTTATCTCTTTTTCCCTCTATTCGACTTGTGAGTATCAGATTCTCCAGGCCCTCCTTTCTCATTATATGTCCCAGAAGCTACATCTACCTATTCCTAATGTTAAGTATAAGCCTCCTCCTTGTTTGTAATCTCTCTAAGACCTCATCGTTGCTCACTTGCTTGGTCCATGGTATTCTTAGCATCCTTCTGTAGAACCACATCTATGTCACCTCGAGTCTCTTCTTCATCTTTGAGGAAATCGTCCAACATTTGATGTCGTAAAGAAGAACAGATGTCACGTAACAGCTCAGTATTCTTTTCTTTGTTATCAAAGAAATCCTCCTGTCTTGTAAATACTCTGCCCAGATTTTGGAATGTGTCCTTGGCCATCCCAATACGTCTACGGATCTCAGTGTCGCACTTACCATCCTCTGTCAAGACGCGTCCCTGATATTTAAACTTCCGCGTCTGCTTGATTCTAGTGTTCCTGATCTGCAAATCGCATTTCGGGATCATCCTCTTATTGATGACCATGCATTCTGTATTCTTGTAGTTTTTGCTTAGTCCCTTCTTCTTGCTCTCCTTCGCTATCTTCTGTAGGAGTTTTAGTAATTTCTTAATTTGTAAAATGCAGGTATCAAAGAGGAAAGCTCACCAGAACAATAGCCATGGAAATATTTACAGAAAAGATAAAAAGAAGCTAAGTTATGGCGATGAGAAAGTGACTGAAGCCGAGATGCCAGGTTAGGAATGATAAAATTGCAGATTATTACTATGAGAGAGATCCACCTTGGTCTTTCTTATTTCAACTGTCCATTTGTTGCATTCCCGAACAAAGTGTTTCATTAATGAAAATTATTTAAAATATATTTTTAAAATCAATTAAAATTTTAAATCAACCATTTTTTCCCAACAATACAACTAGTGTGGTTGATAATTACTACTCAGCAGTAACTGAATGCGTAATACTTGTGTCAAACTAAAGTAAGCATAGTAAATAGCAACACAAGAGATAAGTAACTCTGAGTACCAAGTAAATAAGACGCAAAGGGTTCAGTCAGTTATTTGCCATGCGTTATACGCGCTTAGGCGATCATGTATCTTTCGATACATAACTGACGAGGCAGATTTTTTTCCCGCAGTAAGTTGACATTTCTTTCTGCGTTAGACTAGTTGCCATCCAAGGCTATAGAACCCAGTCTGCCCAGCTGTTTACCTATAGCTGGGACGGGGGAAGAATAGGATTCATACCTTTCCCAAGAGTCAGTCAGATATGTGCCAGGCGTGATACACGCTTAGGCGATCATGTATCTTTCGATAGATGACTGACGAGACAGATTTTTTCTCGCAGTAGGTTGCCATTTCTTTCTGCAGTAGACCAGTTGCCATCCAAAGCTATAGAACCCAGTCTGTCCTGCTATTTACCCATAATTGGGAGAAGAAGAATAGGATTCATACCTTTCCCAAGGGTATTAGCACGTAAGTGAATGTAATGGATTTGACTGGAATTCGAACTCGGCTCTCTGATTTCTCACAGAATCGGAATCCTTGGAATTAATCTTCTTCTGTTGTTTGCTATGGAACCCGGTCTGTTCTATTTCATTTTTTTCATTTTGTCATTTATTTTTCCTAACATTTTTCTGGGAGAAGAAGAAGAGGATTCGTACCTTTCCCAAGGGTATTAGTACGTAAGTGAATATAATGGATTCGACTGGAATTCGAACTCGGCGCTCCAATTCCTCAATCTAAGCCACTATTCATTACTCCACAGTGCCTGGAAGAGGATGTTAAAATGATGGAGCTGGACTGTACAACTCATTAATAGCTAACAAATTCATATGTATATATATATATATAATTCATATATATGTTATATATGAATATTTCATTCCTTCTAGAAAGGAATTATCATCATCCCTTGGAATGGATAGTGATTGAAGAAGTCATATTATCTTTTAATACTTAATACCAGCCTGGAATGATAAGGTCTATTACTCTTTCTGGGAAACCTGAGGAAGGCATCCCTTTCATTGAAACTTGGTCTGATTATTGAATCCTCAATCAGCCAGTCCAAAATTCAAACTTTGCCGCTGGATCTGGGAGTCAGTTATGTGCCATGCGTGATACACGCTTAGGTGATCAAGTATTTTTCCATACACGACTGACGAGGCAGATTTTTTTTTCTCACAGCAGGATGCCATTTCTTTCTTCGGTAGACCAGTTGCCATCCAAGGCTATAGAACCCAGTCTGTCCTGATATTTACCCATAGCTGAAGGAAGAAGAAGAGGATTCATACCTTTCCCAAGGGTATTAGCACGTAAGTTAATGTAATGGATTCGACGGGACTGAAAATAAAAGAATGTGAGAAAAAGTTTATTGAGGAGAGAGGAAAATAAAATAAAAGAATTCAAAACATGATGATTGACGTTGCATTTAAATTTTGGTTGATCTTAGTTGACAGGAAAGCAAGAAGCCGGAAGAAAGTTCCATAGGCTATAGGTGCAAGTGAAAAACAAGAGCATAAAATAGACTTACGGTTTCAATGTGAAATTATGAGACCTAACTGCCAATCTAGTACTGTTTCTGGGTGCGGAAGATATTTCTGTTGCACCCATTATCTAATGTCTTACCATTAAGTCGGAAGTAGATGTTGAAGGTATTTCTGCTTTACTCATATGCTTATGTCTATTGTGCGTGTGTGGCAGGTACATGTGACATTTAATACACATGGAGGTAGTGGTTAGCGGCTCGGATTTAGGAATCAGAGAGCCGAGTTCGAATTCCAGTCGAATTAATTACATTCACTTAAATGCATTAGTTCAATCATCTATCCCCCCTCCAAGTTATAGGTAAATTAGCAGGACAAACAGGGCCCTATAGGGAAAGAAATACTCTAAATTCAAACCACCTGCTACCTGTGGGTCCTGCCTCTTTAACTTCTGAGAGAGGAGGGACGGGGGTAACCCCGACATCCCCGGTGCAAAAGTTACTGGCAAGCCATTGCATTATTCTGATTTGAATGTCGTCATGAACCACAATTGGCGTTGGCTGGCAACCAGTCTAGGAGAAGGAAACTCTGAATCCAAATGCATTTGGATTCGGTTGCAGGGGCCGGGGGTAGGTCTTAGCTGTTTTGCGCAGCCGGCTTAAGCGACCAGATCAATGCCTCAGCTGGTACATGTACATTTAATGAACACGCAAAGACACACGCGCAAACACACGGGCAGAGACACACACGCAGACACATGCGCATTGAAACGAGAGGAAAAAATAATTAAATTAATTAAAAATCCCCGTTAATTTTTTTAGCTTGATAAATCTGCTTTTGTTGACATTTTCGGAAATTATTCGTAATATTTGGAATTAATTAATTATTATTAATTCGATCGACATATCTTTAGGTTGTTCATCGATTTAAAATATTCCTGCGGACAAGCAAGCGTACACCTACAATTTGAATGACATGTAAACATCATACATATACGAATGGCAGGCTTATAAGTCTACCATTCGTCCATGCTTACAATACTGCTGCCACATATGGTCCGGTGCATCTGCTATATTATCGGTACTGATCTGGCAGCTCGGCTTCAGTTACTTTCTCTCCGCCTTAAGGTTGCATCTCTGTGTCTTTCATATAAATACTTTCATGCAATTTGCATTCACTCAACCCCTCACGAGGTCAGGTTGTGACACAACATCAGTTTAATGTGGGGAGCCCGAGTGCGTACACCCGGGCTAGGAACAAAAATTCCCGAGCATCCGCAACCATCGGTTGCGTTGGTCTCGGTGTAGGCACCGATTCCTCTATCTAGGGCAATGAGAGCGTGAGGGCTCAGAAAGCTGTTCCCCAGGGCCGGCACCTCTCAGTATAATTTTCCTAAGTTGCGATTCTTTTCTTTGATGTAGTCACCCCGCGGAGCACACCCTGTCCACAGACAGAGATGCAACCGAGTGATGATAAATAGGGTGTTACAATTTATACTTTCATGGTAATTGTTTGGATAAGCTCTTCGCTGTAATAACTAGACATTATGAATTTAAGCGCAGTACTAAACAAATACCACTAATTTAAAATTGAACTGGCCAGGTGTAGCCGTAAATTCTATGCTAATTGTTTCTTTTTTTTTTTTGTGCTCGAGGACACATGACACAGATAAAGACGTTAGTTAGATCCAGTGACAGGACCCAAAGAGTGTGAGTTCAATACCTGGTTAAGGTGGTGGAGAAATTGGAGAGGGGAATTAACAGGAGATAACTGACAACTGACATCCATTAAAACATGGCACGCGGAACTAGAACAGTCTACCCCAGTAAACGAAATAAAGGGTTCAGTTCGACAATCCAACCACCCGAAGAAGGCCTGAACGTACAACGGCCGAAACGTTGTAATGAATATGGCGACAAATATGAGGACAATAGTCCGAATAATGTAAATAGTGTACATAATACCTCATCTCAGAAATATAGACAGATACTAAAGGGCTGAAACGTTGTAAAAAATATGGCAACAAAGGTGAGGACAATAGTCCGAATAATGTAAATAGTGTACATAATACCTCATCTCAGAAATATAGACAGATACTAAAGGGCCAAAACGTTGTAATAAATATGGCGACAAAGATGAGGACAAGATTTTAAATTTGATCATATTTGCGTCAGCTAAGCGACGCGGTAAAAAATTAGTAAGGAAACTGAACATAGAAGAAGCTGCACTAGGGATAGTTTTGCCCAATACCGCAAGTTGTTACAACACCAAAACATTAACCTATAATCTCTAGCCCTGTTCTTTAATAGCATCGAGATTTTCATACTTGGTGTTCAGAAATATTTAAACTGTCAGCTCTACGCAACCGTGTTCTAAGATCAATTGTTAAAAATGGCCTTGAGCAAGTGAAGTCTGAGAAAAAATTGCCTTGAGCAAATGTAGCTTGTTGGTCTTACCAAGGAACCGTCTTCTTCTTTGAACCTTGTGGAATGGTGCTGCTGAATTCTAAACAAAGTCGAAACTGTCAGCTGTATATAACCATATTCTCAGATCAATAATGAGAAATAACTGCGAAAAAATAAAACTCATGAACTGTTGCTACAGAAAAATTTCCCATAAAAAATACTGCAGAATTTAATCAAGAGGTCTCCAAGAGTTGCTTGATAAGTAGCAACAAGTCCTTTCAAATAATATATAATTGAATAAAATATAAGTGTACTTTAGTTTTGAAAGAATAAAGTCTATAAAAAAAACGGAGATTATTTTTGATTCCACCTAATAGCTACCTATTTCAATTCATTTTTCTATCTATCTATCTATCTATCTATCTATCTATCTATCTCACTTCAAAACCTGCTGAATTTAACCCTAACGACATCGACGTGCTACCTGATAAGTGGCAAAAAGTTATTGCAAATAATGGTGACAATATAATTCAATAAAATACAATTGTAATTTTTTTTTTATTGAAGTTCAAAGTTGATAAACCAAAATGGACAAATTATTTATGACTCAACCTAATATATATATATATATATATATATATATATATATATATATATATATATATATATATTAAAAACAGTCCACTTTAAAGTTCCATGTAATAAGTTATTTCACCACAACCTCTTTAACAGGGCTCTGGATCGTCAGACTTTACTTCCAAAGGTTGAAATGAAAAATGAAAAGAAATTCACACGTATTTGATGCACCGCATCAAGCATATGTAAAATTAAGGGTTCGTGCGCACTTTAAAAAATTCATAACTTTATTTGTATTTGCGATAGAAATAATTTGTAAAAATGATTAGAAAGAAGTAAATCTATATCTTTCAAGGTTTTATTGAAATTTTATTTAAGTTTGCACATGTCCTCCATCATTAGCAATACAAAGGGTAATACGATTTTGCAGTTCACGGAAAACATTTGCCAACTGATTTACAGTAATGCCTGAAATCACATTAGTTATTTTAGCTATACTTAAAACTAGGTACATTAAACTTTATAACATTTTTTACAGATTATTTCTATCTCAAATACAAATAAAGTTATAATTTTTTAAAGTGGACACGAACTTTATGGACACCCTGTATATATATATATATATATATATATATATATATATATATATATATATATATATATATTATTTATTTAAAAATATGATTCCATCGCTACATAAGAGTTCTCACGTTTCAAAACAAGAACCAAAAACGTCAATATAATTATTTGAATTAAATTGAATTAAAGTACCAAGTACTCTTGTTTTGAAACATAAGAACACTTATGTAGCAATGGAATCGTATTTTTAAATAAATAATTATATTTAGGCTCCACTTTTGTATCGAGCCCTGTTTTAAAAATAATAACAAAAATACTAAAGAACTTTGGATTATTTTCCTAACGAGTTCTTTCCTATTTTCTATATACTTTCACACACACACACACACACACACACACACACACACACACACACACACACACACACACACACACACACACACACACACAAAATATATATATATATATATTAAGAAATGGACAAAGTCCGACAATTTATTTATTAAAGACATTTTTATGTTTAACGTCTTTCCTCATTATGCGCCATGAATCTCGTACTAAATGGAAGATTGAAGTTTATAAGCAGTAAATTCAACCTTGCCCACCGAACGATCCTTTGTGGCCGAGAGGTCAAGGCACGTCAGCGTAAATGTCGGTTCCGTTTAGGATGCAGGTTCGAATCCTGTCAAAGGACGAATATTTTTTATGAAATTTTCTCGGACATTCAGGCCGGTAAATGTTATTTAATACTGTTTATTATAAACAGAGCATTTACTTGTATCTATAAAAAGAACGTTAAACATAAAATGACTTTAATATATATATATATATATATATATATATATATATATATATATATATATATGGGAATAGGATAGAATTTGAGTTTAATGAGAGTGATACTGAGATTGAAAGAAGGATTAATTGATGAATTTGTATGATATTAGAAAAGAGATAAGAGAAATGTAATATAGTTCTAAATATATTCGTATGCAACCCTGGATACGTGTTTGACGACTTCTCTAGAAATGTGCCCCCTTCTCTGCGTGCGCGCTAATAGGTATTTCCAGTCGGGTAATTGGTTTATTAGTTACGCAAAGACAACCAAATAGTTTCATGTATTTATAATAGGTTTTCAGCGTCCTTCACATGAGGAGATTGCCTATTTGTTGAAGTGCTCAAGTCTATATTGATAGATTCTCGGAAGTAATTAGATGAACTTACAAACCAATCAATGGAAATACAGATTTATGGATCATTAATATTATATGAAGAAACAGAAAAATGTCGTTAGGAACAAATAAAGAGTGCTGAATTGTTACGCCATATCAATCCTCCTGTAAGGCAGTGAATGCTGGATCTCTTCACAGATGATGAAGAGACTTGAGGCATCAGCAATGTTGTTCTACAGAAGGATGCTGGGGATGCCCTGGACGGAGAATTTGATCAACAGTGCTGTTTTAAAGAAAATGGTAAACAAAAAAAATATCTTAAACTAAGTGACGGTTGAATTTCCCAGGGCGCATAATGAGGAAAGACGACTTGGAAAATCTGATACTCACAGGACAGATTTTAAGGCAAGAGAGACAGATGAAAACAATGCATAACCCACTTAGGGAAATTGTGGAGAGTCATGATTGCTTATATCCTGAAGGGATACAACAGATAGAAGAAGAAGAATAACCTTGAGTAAATGGATGGCTGAATAAGATTTAAGAGAAATAACAAAAAGACAAAATTTATTAAGAGCTACAAAAAACAGGGAAATTGTGGAGAGCCATGATCGCCTACGTCCTGAAGGGATACGGCAGATAGAAAAAGAAGAATGAGTTTGAATAAATGGATGACGGAACAAGGGTTATGTGAGCTGTAGTTGACAATATATATATATATATATATATATATATATATATGTAGGCGATCATGTATCTCTCGATACATGACTGACGAAGGAGATATTTTTTCGCGTAGCAGGTTTTCATTTCTTTCTGCGGTAGACCAGTTGCCATCCAAGGCTATAGAACCCGATATGCCCTGCTATTGACCCATAGCTGGCGAGAGATGATGATGATTCATACCTTTCCCAAGGGTCAGTCATTTATGTGCCATGTGTGATACATGCTTAGGCGATCATCTATCTTTCGATACATGACTGTCGAGGCAGATACTTTTCGTGCAGTAGGTTGCCATTTCTCTCTGCGGTAGACCGGTTGCCAAAGCTATAGAACCCTGTCTGTCCTGCTATTTACAAATAGCGAGAGGGAAACTTTGGAATTTGTCGAATATGTGACCGTAACATTGTCAGGAAACGTTTATTTAGAGGTTGAATCGATTTACTATGAATTTTTGTTGCAAACAGTCAGTCAGTCATTTATGGGGCATGTCTTTCTGTGGTTATAGAAGCCGGTCTGTCCTGCTACTTACCTATAGGTGGTGGTGGTGAGGGGGAAGATCGAGAATAAGATGATTCATACCTTTCCCGAGGGTATTAGCACGTAAGTGAATGTAATGGATTCGACTGGAATTCGAACTTGGCTCTCCGATTCCTCACAGAATCGGTATCCTTGGAATTAATCTTCTTCTGTTGTTTGCTATAGAACCCGGTCTGTTCTATTTCATTTTTTTTCATTTTGTCATTTATTTTTTCCTAACATTTTTCTGGAAGGAGAAGAAGAGTATTCATACATTTCCCAAGGGTATTAGTACGTAAGTGAATGTAATCACTTAGGATGAGTCTAGGAAATGCTAGGGTGACCACAGATCAACCTAATGGCTAAGACTCACCATTGTAACGAACCAACTTCATTCTATTCGTAAAATTTGTGACAGCAAGTACAAAAGCTACTTTGGTATCTGTTAGGATGAGACCAGTACATACTGGGGTCACCACAGATCAACTCATCTTAGAACAAAGATTCCATACTGACATTAAAATCGATTCAGATTATTTTCTATTTCCTGGTGCGGATTACATGCTAAGTAAGTGTTATGGGATCTTACCCATAATAATAATAATTCCATACTTATTACAGGCTAGGCATTTCATTCGCTCACTTTCTGAGCGACTGTTCGGTTCAACTCTCTTCCTAATAAACCCGAATGGACTAGTTCCTTCGGGGAAAATGGCCCATACCCCCGGCCCAGAACCCGTTTATACGGGTTCAAATACTGCACCTCAGGAGCCTAATGGCTCGGGAATTCCCCACGTTAAAAAGGCCTCATTCTGAATATTGTCATTCGCTCACTTTCTGAGCGACTGTTCGGTTAAACTCTCTTCCTACGGGCGGGAGGAACCCGAAGGAGGCTACGCTGAAGGGCGGAGTCTCCTTCGGGGAGGTAAAACCGGCCCAGAACCCCTTTATGCGGGTTCAAATGGGCTATTTTTTGGCCGAGCCTAATGGCTCGGGAATACCCACGTTAAAAAGGCCTTGTGCCACATGACACCCTCGTGGGGGGGTGACTGAATATTGTCATTCGCTCACTTTGAGTCAGTCGTTCAACTCTGAACCGACTGCACGGTTAAACTCTCTTCCTACGGGCGGGAGGAACCCGAAGGAGGCTACGCCGAAGGGCGGAGTCTCCTTCGGGGAAAATAAAACAGCCCAGAACCCGTTTATACGGGTTCAAATGGGCTATTTTTGGCCGAGCCTAATGGCTCGGGAATGCCCAATTAAAAAGGCCTTGTGCCACATGACACCCTCGTGGGGGGGGGGGTGACTGAATATCGTCATTCGCTCACTTTCTGAGCGACTGTTCGGTTAAACTCTCTTCCTACGGGCGGGAGGAACCCGAAGGAGGCTACGCCGAAGGGCGGAGTCTCCTTCGGGGAGGTAAAACCGGCGCTGAACCCGTTTATACGGTTTCAAATGGGCTATTTTTTGGCCGAGCCTAATGGCTCGGAAATGCCCACGTTAAAAAGGCCTTGTGCCACATGACGCCCTCGTGGGGGGACGACTAAATATAGTCTGTCGCTCACTTTCTGAGCGACGGTTCGGTTCAACTCTGTCTACGGACAGAGAGGAACCCGAGGCTTCGCCGAAGGAGGTCTTCGCCGAAGCTTCGCCGAAGGCGGAGTCTCCTTCGGGGAGGTAAACTGGCCCTGAACCCGTTTATACGGGTTCAATGGGCATATTTTTGGCCGAGCGCACGGGCTCGGAATGCCCACGTTAAAAAGGCCTTGTGCCACATGACACCCTCGTTGGGGGGGGGTGACTGAATATCGTCAGTCGCTCACTTTCTGAGCGACTGTTCGGTTGAACTCTCTGCCTTCGGGCGGAGAGGAACCCGAACGAGGCTACATATATATATATATATTAAATAAAATTTTAAAAGGAAGGTACAAGGAATAGAATTAAAAAAAAATATCCCCAGAAAGAGAATAAAAAAGAAAAAATTGTCGGACTTTGTCCATTTCTTTCAAATAAGTTTGTCGTTCCAAATGTACACCACGTTGGTGAGGGGGGAAATTGAAGAAAAAAAATTAATCATGTCGGCATCTTTATTTGATACACGAGAGTCAGTATGGAAGATATTGGATGACTTTCACATCAACACACTTTTTTTTTTTTCTTAATGAAAGAGGTACACGTTGCGAAACGCGAATCATGGAAATATAGTCACGAAGCCAAGTGCACAAGCACAGATTTAAAGACTGGAAAAATAGTGGAACTTGCATTTTGGTGCATGATTCTACCTGTGCACTCAGTGGCATATGCTTCAGGTGTAAAAATAAGCGGTGCAGCAGAATAAACAGAAGAGGAACATGAAGGCAAACCAAAGAAATTTTCTTTTTTTCTTCTTCTTCTCGAACTTCTTTTTTCTTTCGTTCTTTTTCTACCCATGACGTCATCCTTTTTTTCTTTCATTTTCTTTGTCATTCTTTTTATAGAGATTTTCTTTCTTTTTATTCAAATCGTTGTCTTCATTTTTTCATTTTCTTTTTCATTCTCTTTCTAGGGATATTTTTCTTTTTTTTTATTCTACTCCTCAGACCTTCCTTTTTTTTTTCTTTTTTTTTTTCATTCTCTTTCTGGGGATATTTTTCTTTTTTTTTATTCTACTCCTCAGACCTTCCTTTTTTCTTTCTTTTTCTTTTTCATTCTCTTTCTGGTGATATCTTTCTTTTATTTTAATTCTATTCCTCGTACCTGCCCTTTTTCTTTCTTTTTCTTTTTCATTCTCTTTCTAGGGATATTTTTCTTTTTTTTTATTCTACTCCTCATACCTTCCTTTTTTCTTTCTTTTTCTTTTTCATTCTCTTTCTGGTGATATCTTTCTTTTATTTTAATTCTATTCCTCGTACCTGCCCTTTTTTTTTTTTTTTTTCTTTTTCATTCTCTTTCTAGGGATATTTTTCTTTTTTTTTATTCTACTCCTCAGACCTTCCTTTTTTCTTTCTTTTTCTTTTTCATTCTCTTTCTGGTGATATCTTTCTTTTATTTTAATTCTATTCCTCGTACCTGCCCTTTTTCTTTCTTTTTTTTTTTTTCATTCTCTTTCTAGGGATATTTTTCTTTTTTTTTATTCTACTCCTCGTACCTTCCTTTTTTCTTTCTTTTTCTTTTTTATTCTCTTTCTGAGGATAATGTTATTACCCTTTTATTCTAATCTGGCTTCGACATTGGAAACAAAGGAAGGAGTAATGGTTTGTTGTGCAATATCGTTACTCTTCCGTGGCAGTGAATGCTGGGTAATCTCGTCAGAGATGGAGATGTAACGTGAAGCTACGGAGATATGAACAATGACGGAGTTTTAGAGAACAGGGAAACAAACAGGGCTCTTCTACTTATCATCAGGAAGAGACAGCTGAAATTTATGGGAGAAAAAATGTGGAAAGAGGGCTTGATATTCACAGGTCACATTGAAGGCAAGAGAGACATAAGAAGACAAGTGTTTGTTTTTGATTCTGTCGACTGAACAGTATAGTAGGGTCAGTTGGGCACCGTCTGTGAGAAAAAAGAGCACCATGATGCAATTCACTACACCTAGAATTTGGAAACGGCATGCTGTACTGCTTGGCATTCGCACCGGAAGTTCTAATACGAACATTTTAGAGTGTTTGGTTGTCAATCTAAGAACAGTGCAGAGGATTCAGAAAGAGTTGGATGAGTCTAATGGTGATTACTAGGTGTTTGTAATGAACACTAGTGATGTTATGACTCAATTTGTCTTCCCACAGGGTCTCAGACTAAACACAGAGGCCTCTATCAAGTGCCTGGAGGAGGTAGTGATGCCCTGGGTCGAAAGGGTGGAGACTATATCTTTAGTATTTCAAGGTAATTTTGTGCAATTTTGGTAAATATATCTGTTAAAAATAAGATGTCGCTGTTATTTTCATTCTTTTATATATATATATATATATATATATATATATATATATATATATATATGAAATTGATTAAATATTTTTTATTTATTTGTTTAATTTCCATTTAAAACAACGTTTAAACAAATAAATTATTATATATACATATATGTTTTTATATTGCCTATAATATAGAGCACTTTCCTATATTGTATATTGTATTCATATATTAGCTCTATCACAGATTTTGAGCACTTTCCACTAAATACCGTACACACACGCACGCACACACACACACATATATATATATAAACTTGTTAATTAGACCACGTGACAGTCCCTTATATATATATATATATATATATATATATATATATATATATATAATACTAAAACAAGAAGAACAAATTTGTGAGTTCGAGTGTCACTGAGTGTTCCATATATGCAGCTTTTTGCCACATCTAAGTTACGCTTGAGAAATCATATATATATATATATATATATATATATATATATATATATATATATATATATATGTACTAGCAGCATGACCCGGCGTTGCCCCTGCTTGATACAAAATTCGTACGACTCATACGGCAATCGCTATTACTTGACTTAAAATATTTTTGCCCTTCCTTGCCTTTAAAGGAGTGCCTTTGCCGTGCTGATGTTGCTACATGCCTTCCTTCTTGTCTATCTCACACTGCGAATTTTTTCTAAGCTCTATACTAAACATTAAATCTGTTACGAAAAAAAGAACTAAACAAAATGAACACAAAACGATCAACTTTAAAAAAAGGACTCATAACTGGAAAAACCGAATGAAAAAAGAATGTTAACAACAAATACTTTTTCACACCCAACACAGTTCTGCGGAATGAGAATCAACGTTGAGTTTAAGCAAGCGAATGAGCCAATTGGAGTAAAGTGCCATGCAGATTTAAATTTTTCCCACTTGTGACGAATGCAGCTATCGATTTTTTTTTTTTGCATCCTAGCATGCTAGTTAACATTCGTGGCAGCCAGCTGTTGGCTCTCACGCTGGCCAATAGAATCTTCCTGCCTCTTTGTGGCAGCCAGCTATAGGCTCTCACTCTGGCCAGTAGAAAATTTCTGCAAACTACATGAAAACTGTCGTTGAAGCATGAAAAAATCGATTATTTCCACTACCGATGGGAGTTGGGAAATGCAAAGTCGGTCTTGGCCTTCCCCGCTAACTTGGAGCATGTGCATGGAAATTTTGGTGCAAATCCGTCGAAAATTGCGGCCGTGCATTCGTTACACACACACACACACACACACACACACACACACGTCCTGCCTTTTATAGATTGAGATATATGAGTTTGTGACGACTGAGTTTCACGCTCTTACGATTGTCAGACAAACTGATTATTTTTTTCAAAATTTTGGATATATGTAGATTGCGTGCATTGGTGTTATTATTGAAGTGGGGGGGGGCAATCGTCGTTGTGATGTCACTCATGCTAACGCAAACATAGATGCATGTCCGTACACTCGATGAGGTACGCAGACACACATACACACTCGCTCGTTCGCCGGGGCTCACACAAAGATAAACATATGTGGACATTATGGGACTTGACATATGTGTGCTGTTGTCTACATACATACGCATTTGATTGTTGAATTTCAAAGATCGGATGTGTGTCAATTATTCTCGCATCAATCGAACCAAATATGTTAGCTCTATCTCTGATATTGAGCGCATTTTAATAAGAACCGCGTATTTAACATATAAATACCAATATATATATAATACAGACTGTCTATAAAGTTCGTGTGCACTTTAAAACATTTATAACTTTATTTGTATTTGCGATAGAAATAATCTGTAAAAAATGTTATAAAGTTTAATGTCCCTAGTTTTAAGTATAGCTAAAATAACTAATGTGATTTCAGGCATTACTGTAAATCAGTTGGCAAATGTTTTCCGTGAACTGCAAAATCGTATTATCCTTTGTATTGCTAATGATGGAAGACATGCGGAAACTTTAAAAAAATATAGATTTACTTCTTTCTAATCCTTTTTACAAATTATTTCTATCGCAAATACAAATAAAGTTATAATTTTTTTTAAGTGCACATGAACTTCATGGACACCCTGTATATTACACACACACACACCCACACACACACACACACACACACATATATATATATATATATATATATATATATATATATATTATATACACACTTTTCACACACACACACACACATATATATATATATATATATATACATATTTTCACACACACACACACACACACACATTTTTATATACACACTTTTCACATACACACACACACACACACACACACGCACACACACATATATATATATATATATATATATATATATATATATGGATAGATAGATCGATAGATGTATCTCCGTAGATATTAAAACAGAGTGTATGTGTATGTATGGCAAGGACATTCAGTACATGTGTACACGCAGATATTGTGTACCTGTACACAGCAACATGCTATTTAAACACACACCGGGTAAGAAACACGGGTACAAAGGGGGAGGGGAACGAGAGTGAATGCCAGAATCTTTACAGAACACCACACGTAAAGCGAAAGCAGACAGATTCTCGCATAGATTTCTTTCTTTCTTTTCTTTTTCCCCCTCTTTTCCAGTATCGATTGGAAAGAGGGACGAATCGAAAGACCGGAATCCGTTCACGGAGCCAAAGAACACATCACGTGTATTCGACATGTGCTCGCTTTCGTCTTTACCTGCTCGCCTTACCATATTTGTGTCAGGGTAATGATCACTCCAGCGCCGATTTATCGACCCCACCCGTCTCACTTCACCTCTTTCTCCTCCTCCTACTCCTCTTCCTCATCCTCCTACTCCTCTTCCTTCTACTCCTCCTCTTCTTCCTCCTCCTCCTCCTCCTCTTCCTCCTCCTCCTCCGATGTTTACTTTTTCCGAACAATCAAATTTTGTATTCTTTTGGTTACCGGTATCGACTGATTATTTTTCACAAAAGATGCCTTCTATGATTTGTTTACCTGCCTTTGTTTATTCATATCTATCTATCTATCTATCTATCTATCTATCTATCTATCTATCTATCTATCTATCTATCTATCTAATTCTGTTCAAATCTATCTATCTATCTATCTATCTATCTATCTATCTATCTATCTATCTCAGCCTGTTCATTACTCCATCTGTTTCTTTCTTTCACTCCCTCTCTCTCTATCATGCTTGTTTATATCTATCTATCTATCTATCTATCTATCTATCTATCTATCTATCTATCTATCTATCTGTTTGTTCAAATCTATGTATGTATGTACGTATCTGTCTGTCTGTCTCTCTCTATATATATATATCTTAATTTGTTCATATATATCTCTGTTTCTATCTATCTATCTATCTATCTATCTATCTGTTTGTTCAAATCTCTGTATGTATGTACGTATCTGTCTGTCTGTCTCTCTCTCTCTCTATATATATCTTAATTTGTTCATATATCTCTCTGTTTATATCTATCTATCTATCTATCTATCTATCTATCTATCTATCTATGTTTTGTTCAAATCTCTGTATGTATGTACGTATCTCTCTGTCTGTCTGCCTGTCTGCCTGTCTATCTCTATATATATATCTTTGTTCATATCTATCTCCGTTTGTTTCTATCTATCTATCTCAACTTGTTTATACATCTCTGTATTTCTTTCTTTCTCTCTCTCTCTCTCTCGCGCGCGCTCTCTCTCTCTCGCTCTCTCTCTCTCTCTCTCTCTCTCTATATATATATATATATATATATATATATATCTCAGTTTGTTCGTATCTATCTATCTATCTATCTATCTATCTATCTATCTATCTATCTATCTCAGTCTATTCTTATCTATCTATTGCAGTTTATTCAAATCTTTTTTAGTCCATTCTTATCTATCTATCTATCTATCTATCTATCTATCTATCTATCTTTGTTCAAATCTATCTATCTATCTTTGTTCAAATCTATCTATCTATCTTTTTTTTCAAATCTGTATGCCTGCCTGTCTGTCTGTATGTATGTATGTGAGCTGAGTGGTTAGAACGTTATTTTTTTAACCATGAGGCCCGGGTTCGAATCTCACCATGGTCGATTCGTCAGGAATGTATCGAGGTCAATTTGGAAAGTGTCTGAAAACTATATGACGAGTGAAATTGGATAGACGGAACTGGCCTTGTTCAAATTGTTGATCATTCGAGATAACACGCTCTCTTCCAGAAACTGTAACTAAGGTCTGCTCAGCATAGTTGCAGTATAAAACACAGGTGGGCTCTGTGGGTGTTGAGTAAACACAAATGCGCCTGAGCAAGCGTCTGCAATAGGGATTGGCTAGCCGCCCTACCAAACGGGTATCCTCGATTGCGAGTGGCCAGCAATTTATGTACGCATATATATATATATATATATATATATATATATATATATATATATATATATATCTTAGTTTGTTCATATCTCCGTTTGTTTATATATGGATAGATAGATCGATAGATCGATAGATGTATCTCTGTCGATATTAAAACTCAGTGTATATATATATATATAAAAACACAGTGCATATATATATATATATATATATATATATATATATATATATATATATATATATTATATTAGTTTGTTCATATCTCCGTTTGTTTATCTATCTATCTATCTATCTATCTATGTTTGTTCAAATCTATGTAAATATATACGTATCTATCTATCTATATATCAGTTTGTGCATATCTATCTATCTATCTATCTATCTATCTATCTATCTATCTATCTATCTATCTATCACTTTGTTCATATCTATCTATCTATCTATCTATCTATCTATCTATCTATCTATCTATCTATCAGTTTGTTCATATCTATCTATCTATCTATCTATCTATCTATCTATCTATCTATTCATATCGATCCTTTCCAGTCTATTTATATCTCGCCTTTCCAGTCTATTTATATCTATCTATCTATCTATCTATCTATCTATCTATCTATCTATCTATCTATCTTTATATTTACCTCGGTCGAATTCTGTTGAACGATTTGCATTTCTCGAAAAATCAAAACTAATAATGATTAGCTTCAACTTCATCTGTCGCAGTTATATTTCGTCTTTAAACTCTCCGACTTGCAAATTTCTGTCGTCGTCGTCGTCGTCGTCCTGAAAAGAGATTCGAATATGCCGGAAGCCTATTTTCCAGCTTAATCAGCAGAAACGATAAATAATAGTTTTTTTGTTTTGTTTTGTTTTTGTGATTAACTCAAAAGAAGACATCGTCTGTCTGTTGAAAATTATAATATGGCAAATTTATAAATATGTATAGATCTTGTATTCTTCTATGTCCGAAAGCAAATACAAGACAAAAGAGATAATATGCTTTCGAAAACCTCGAGGCCTTTCTAAGAAAGAGTTTCTCACCACCGAAGGTGTAAGAAAAAAAAATCAAGCCAGCCGAAAACTGATAGTGAGATTCTGGAATCTTCCACATTAGCATTTCCCTTTTGGAAAGATGTATTCTTCCCTAAAAAAAAAAAGCCTGAACCAATAACCACTTCGTTTCTGTAAATTCAGTCTTCTATTGGTTAAGAAACACTAAACTGTAGCAAAGGCGAAACAGATCCTTTTTCTCGCCAAGCTCCCTGGAGCCGACTTTTAGACACTAAAGATTAATATTTGGGTAATATTCAATGGCGGCACTCTCTAGAATTTTTCTTCTGAGTGAGTTATTTTTTTTTATGAGTGTAGCATTTTTAAATCAAAATTGTGGTTGAATTTATTTCTATATATGACTAGTGCATTAGCTAAGTTGTTTTTTGTGAGGTCTCTTAATCTACGCCCAGACTATTTCCCTATTTCACCTTTCTTAACAGAATTACTTCTCTCGCAAACAAACGTACAGAACAGTATCGTGAAATCAAAAGAAAATGGTTGAATCCATCACCACATCAATAAAAACAATATCTCCACACGTGTCAGTAATTGACGTAATTTTCAGTTAACAGTATGAAAATAGCGTTCTCTAAATTCTTCCAGTTACTAAGGACATTTTGTTTTTGTTATTATTAGTTACTTTGTTTAAATAAATTCATTTCGATTTTTGCCTTGAGAAAGTTCACATTGGACGAAACGCGTCGGCAAATATTACAGCAGTTTTCCTATTGCCATTTATATCTATAAATATTGTCTTTTCTACAGGTTAACTCTGAGAAAATTTATATATATATATACATATATATATATATAAATATATATATAAATTGTGTGTATTTTGGCAGCATGTTTTCATTGAGGCACGTTTCATTAAATAATTTAGACAAGTTTTGTCTGCTTATTTTCAACAGGATTCGCTCATATTCTCGGATAAGCTTTCTGGAGCCGGTATTAATGTTTATATTATTTAATTAGGTATGTCTGATTGAATAAATTACAAACATTATGTCTGCTTATTTTTAACATAATCCTTTCATGTTCACGAATATTTTTCCGTGTATTACAATTGAAATTGAGGCAAAAAATTTTCACTGTCAATGTGAAAATTACTTTTGTTTCCTAAGTACTTTTCATCTCTTTTCACTGTTACAGTATATTTCTTGCCTCAAATAAGCAGACATGATGTTTGTAATATATATATATATATATATATATATATATATATATATATATATATATATATATATATATGGACTGATAGAAACATAGACAATGAACAGGATTAGGTAGAGAGATATGTAATTTATTTAATCAGACATGCTTAAAAGAGAATTTGATGCCTAAATGCACAAATTATTTAATATATATATATATATATATATATATATATATATATATATATATATATATATTAGTGGTAAATATACACATACATATGCAAAATATATAAATATATATACATAGGTGTATACACATACATGAATATTTTTTGAATAAAAATTTCAAGAGGATAGAATCCAGGTAGAACTCAATGTCCAGGACAGAGTAAGGATATAATAAAAACTTAACACTAATATTCCCATGGTCATAATTTATTCCATTGGAATCGTAAATATGATCCAATTCATCAGACCTACAAATTCAAATTCTGTTTTCTTTTTTAACTTGTAGGTCTGATGAATTGGATCATATTTACGATTCCAATGGAATAAATTATGACCATGGAATATTAGTGTTTAAGCCTTTTTATTATATATATATATATATATATATATATATAATGTTTAGATGTACTTACCACTTGAGCAGTTTCTCAAAGGAACTGATGTAATGTGAAACCGACTTCCAAGAGCACGCCTCGCCGCTCACTACAATATTAACATATTCAAGTAAAGGGTTCACCTTTTTTCCCTATATATTCCCATAAACTGTGTGTGACGCTTACTGTGTAGCGCTCTACTTCGATTGGCGCTTGGGCCTCATACAGTATTTAGTATATTGTAAACAAACAGAAAAAAACATACACATATATGTATATGCGAGAAGCATCGTGCTTAAACGCTTACAACGTAAACTGTATAACATATTTCAATGCTCACGGTGGCGGAAAAATCGCTTGTAAAAACCCTTCAAAACAAATTCAGGAAAGCATGAAGATAAATGAAAACGACAATGTTTAGGATAATTCCAAGAGAAAAGAAGACAATATGGATCAGAAAACAGACCAAAATAAGTGATACCAGAGAAGTTATTAAACAACAACAATATATATATATATATATATATATATATATATATATATATATATATATATATATATATACATATGAAAATTTCTCCGATTTAATCGGTAGAAGACAATATTTATGAATAAAAATGACAATAGGAAAACTGGTAATTGCCAGCGTTTCGTCCAATGTGTTTTTCAAAGTTTTAATACGAAAATGAAATTAAATGAACAAAGTAACTTCAAAAACAGCCAGTTTAATTTTCTGTTTTTGTTTTTTATTTTCTGTTTTTTTCATTTTGATAAAGTTACATTGACGAAACGCGTCAGCAATTACCAGTTTTCCTATTGTCATTTTTATTCATAAATACATATATATATATATATATATATATATATATATATATATATATCATACTTATTATAAAACCCAGGTTGTGTGTGTGTGTGTGTGTGTGTGTGTGTGTGTGTGTGTGTGTGTGTGTGTGTACGTTTATATATTGGATCGGATTTCCTACATTTTTCAACCGATTTCAACAAAACTTCACAGTACTGCGTAAAATGACCTTGCGGTGGTTCTGACAGTGCCAAAAATTGGGAAAACACAATTGTTTTTGCACGAAATCAATTTGAAAACACGATTAAGAGGCATCGCGAGAATGAAAGGGAGACAACTCATATCGAGTTATACTTATTATAAAACCCAGGTTGTTTGTTTGTGTGTGTGTGTGTGTGTTCGTTTATATATGGGATCGGATTTCCTACATTTTTGAACCGATTTCAACAAAACTTGGCAGGTAGTGTTTCTTATTGTCTTGCCCACTTTTTTCTTTATTTTTACATTCAGAATGCTTTAAAAATTCCATTTACAAGACAATTGTTTATAATAAAATTCTATTCAATCGATAGAGTCATAACGATTTTTCTTTGAGTTTGGGTTTGACCAATTCGTAAAAAACAAAAAAAAAAACAAAAAAAAAAAAAACTAATTAAGACATGCGTGTCCGTCAACCTTAAACAATAATTTTTGTCATTTTTATTTTTCAGTCTTTATGATTGTCGATACTTGGGCTATCTCTTACTGTTACATCCCCGGGCAACGCCGGACTCAACTGCTAGTATATATATATATATATATATATATATATATATATATATATATAGTTGTATATTTAGGCAGCAATCCTTCGTTTATGCATGTTTCATTAAAAACGACAGACAAGGTACTACAGTTAAGCTTTTTGTTTAATTTTTCTTGTGTTCGAACAAGAGCAAATATATATATCAAATATAAATATGTATAATTTTTACAAGCTCCCATTTTTTAAAGGAAAATTTTTGACAATGACGGCAATATATATATATATAATAGTAAAAAGTAAAGAACAGTAAGATATATGATCCGGTGTTCTTATTGATATTTATATTTTTACAAAACAGTTGTAAATTTACAGAGCATAGATTGTAGTTCAATATGACGTATTCCAAACTCCTTTTAGAAAGAATCTTTATGTATACATGTACGAATTTAAAGGAAAAAAAGCCGAAAACATTTTCGTCGTTGTTAAAAATAGCAGACGACATGTGTTGAACGGATGTCATAATTCGTTGAAAAATGCACCTCTACCCTACCTAGATTTAACCTCTTTTTTGAACGTAACTCGTAATGTCTGATTGATTGGATTTCTCTGCATCCTTGGATACAAAAAATTATGAATGCATGTGATTTTAAAACTCAGTAAATTTAAAAATATGTCATTCCAATATTTGTTTGAAGATAGAGCAGAACTAATGCTTTTAATTTAATTATATAATTAAATTTGAAGTTTTTCGATTCGGCTTTTGAAACATGGTAATTCTTGTGTAGCGAAGGAACCATATTTTAAATCGGTTAATATATATATATATATATATATATATATATATGTGTGTGTGTGTGTGTGTGCCCCCGAATTGTTTGAAATTTAAAGAACGACTAGGTCTGTCTGTTTAATATTTTACAATGGTTGAATAAGGTGTTGCATATTGTTATTGAAGTTATGGCCCAACAAACAAAGAAATTCTGGCCTAACAAATAAAGAAATTTTGGCCCAACAAGGAAATTTAGGCCAAACAAAGAAATTCTGGCCCAACAAACAAAGAAATTCTGGCCCAACAAAGAAATTTTGGCCCAACAAACAAAGAAATTCTGGCCCAAGAAAGAAATTCTGGCTTAACAAAGAAATTCTGGCCCAATAAACAAAGAAATTCTGGCCCAACAAAGAAATTTTGGCCCAACAAACAAAAATTTCCCCAACAAACAAAGAAATTCTGGTCCAGCAAACAAAGAAATTCTGGCTTAACAAAGAAATTCTGGCTTAACAAAGAAATTCTGGCCCAATAAACAACGACATTCTGGCCAAGCAAAGAAATTTTGAACCAACAAAGAAATTCTGGCCCAACAAACAAAGAAATTTTGGATCAACAAAGAAATTCTGGCCCAATAAACAACGAAATTCTGGCCCAATAAACAACGAAATTCTGGCCCAACAAAGAAATTTTGGACCAACAAACAAAAAATTTTGGACCAACAAACAAAGAAATTCTGTCTACCATGCAAGGTCGGGCGAATTTCTTTGTCTACTTATGTCTACCTACCACAAAGACATGACATGGTTTCTGGAAAATGACTGAGCCAACCGGAAGTACTTCAAGAAAACAACATCAATCTCGTAGCGTTTATCTATATCTTCGATCACAATACACCACATCCTATTCGAAAATTGTACAAATGGAATGAAAAATTAAACAGACAGACCTTGTCGGTTCAATTTACTCAGACTTGCATCGTTGAATACTTGATGCCGAAACATACCCATATATATTTAATTCAGTTGTGGGCACCACGTGGTGGTGTAATGGTTAACAAGCTTGTTTTGCTAGATCAATTACAACTGGATAGTGAGTTCGATCTTCATTGAGTGCTCCATACTTTTGGCCATGTGCTACATCTAAGTCATGCGTAGAAATTATTGGACACCTCCATGTGGTGTAATGGTTAGGAATATTGTCTTGCTAGCAAAATTATGACTGAGTAGTGAGTTCGATCCTCACTGGGTGCCCCCATACTTTCGGCCTTGTGCCACATCTGAGCTACGCTTGGAAAATCACTATATTTAATTCAGTTAAAAATAAAACCTTGATAAATGCTAGTAAAATCACTGATAAATATAGAACATTTGGACAGTTTTTACGTACTTTATATCCAGACAAAAAAAAAACTTGTCGGAATGAAAGAAGAATTGAGTAAAAAGTTAAAACGCAGTTCCTTGTCTGTTGTCTTTGATAAAACTTAAGTTAAGTCTGTCTAACTGATAGCGAATCGCATTTGAAACGCAAAAATGGCGGTGGAGTGTCAGAGTGAGAGGAAAACGACGCTCTGTCGGAAACAATGTAACGCTTCATTGTCTTTCGTCTTATAATCAATGCCGGGAAAAGCTTTTCATTTTCAGTAAAGTATGGAAGGAGATAAACGTTAGTCTCTTTCTGCACGTCAGATGAACTTAGTTCGCGTGTTAGTTAATTCCGGTCGATTTTTATAGCGAAACGTTAAGCCTTATTATAAAAAGAGGGAAACACCGACAGAAATATGTATAGAATATAAAGAAAGAAAGAAAGAAAGAAAGAAAAACTATACATATAGGTAAACGTAAGATGGAAAGATAGAAGAGAGAGTGAGAGAAAGAAAAAGAAATATATATATATATATATATATATATATATATATCGATGCATGTTTCATTAAATTTTATAAAACAAGATGTGTCTATTTATTTTAAGTAAGTTCTTTTCATATTGTCTGATAAGCTAAATAACATTATCATTGCAAGACGAAAGAAAATCACAATATTGATACATGTATAAATCCAATCTAAGCGTTTGGCTTACATAAGCCATTATCAAAGATGACAATTACATTTCAATATATCAAATACACGGCCGAAACAATAATGATTGTTGCATTAAAAATTTCTAAGCAGCGACAAACTCGTGTATACGAGACGCGGAAGCGAAAATCGCGTCGCAGCTCGTGACGTCACACATGACAACGCGAGAGTAAAAACGAGAAATATTAAGTATGGGAAGCCGTTGGTATAAACCAAAGGCTTCAGTTATCAATTATAGGCATTTAAAAATATTTGTGGAGATTTCGTAATTTATTTTGTTCAGGTTAGGTTTCAACTATTTTATGTATATAGCTTCAAGAATTTTTAGTTTTTGTTTATTGTTTTCATGTTTAAGTGAAGTTGTGTTTTCAACAAGGATTTTCTGGAATTGTGTATGTGGCCAGACATGTTGTTTTAAATGCCTAAAAATGTTAGAGTCATCATTCAAATGTAGAGTCAAGCGTCGTGAAAGCGAGTTTGTGGTGTGATCAACATAAATATTATTTAATCCATTGGAAATACAATCTCCCAAAGGGCACTTGAATTTGTAAACTATATTGGTTTTTTGCAAATCACTAAAGGTGGGTGGGGGAAGAATCATTGCGAATAATTAAGTTGGATATACTAGATTTAGTGTAGTATATGATTAACCTAATTTATATATACATATATATATATATATATATATATATATGCACGTTTCATTGAATGGACAGACAATGTGCTTTGATTTTTATACAATTTCTCGTGATCTTATAATTTTTTCTTTTCTGTAGATGAATTATATAAAAATTGTCTAATTGTTCTTTTTTCCAAGTGCTTTCGGCTATACATTTAGCCATTTTCAAGGTTGAAAGATATCAACTGTTAACAAGAAATAGATTGGACAATTTTTAGATAGTTTATCTACGCGAAAAGAAAAAAAATCAAAAGATCATATGAGAAATTATATAACAAAAAATAAATCAAGGCACCTTAAAGAAGGATTGCTGCTAAACACACACACACACACACACACACACACACACACACACACACACACACACATATATATATATATATATATATATATATATATATATATATATATATATATATATCAGACATTTGAGGAATAAAAAATATGGGATCATATTAAACATAAGATACAAAAATATCCACGTTTAAAACATAAAATGTAACGTACCTTTCGACCGACACATTTTCAGACAATCGTCGGTCATCTAAAACGGAGTACTAACAAGAAAATTTTTTAATAATACCGTAATAAAACAGGATGGTAAGGGAGGGGAATTGTTTTACCTCAAATCATGTAACCGTTCCCCCAAATAAGGCCAACTTAAACTTCATCTCCCGTTGTACGCAGAGGGTCGGCCTACATATGTTGATAATAACAGACTCCAAAATGTCGAGGTGGAGTCTGTTCCTAGCCCTGTGCAATACCGAAAAGAGACCGTTACATGAGAGAGAGAGAGAGAGAGGAAGGGAGAACAAGTTAGAGTGAAAGAGATAGAAAGAGGAAGGGAGAAAGAGCAAGTGAGAAAGAGAGACAGAGAGGAAGGGAGAGCGAGTAAGAGTGAAAGAGATAGAAAGAGGAAGGGAGAAAGAGCAAGAGAGAAATAAAGAGAAAGAGAGGAAGGGAGAACGAGTAAGAGTGAAAGAGATAGAAAGAGGAAGAGAGAAAGAGCAAGAGAGAAAGAGTAAGGGAGAACCAGTAAGAGTGAAAGAGATAGAAAGAGGAAGGGAAAAGATCAAGAAAGAAAGAGAAAGAGAGAGAGGAAAGGATAGCGAGTAATAGTGAAAGAGATAGAAAGAAAGAAAGAAAGAGCAAGAGAGAAATAGAGAGAGAGAGAGAGGAAAGGAGAACGAGTAAGAGTGAAAGAGATGGAAAGAGGAAGAGAGAAAGTGCAAGAGAGAAATAGAGAGAGAGAGAGAGGAAAGGGAGAACGAGTAAGAGTGAAATATATAGAAAGAGGAAGAAAGAAAAGCAAGAGAGAAATAGAGAAAGAGAGGAAGGGAGAGCGAGTAAGAGTGAAAGAGACAGAAAGAGGAAGGGAGAAAGAGAAGGAGAGAAAGATAGAGAGGAAGGGAGAGCGAGTAAGAGTGAAAGAGATAGAAAGTGGAAGAGAGAGAGAGTGAGAGAGAGGAAGGGAGAAACTGCAATAGAGAGAGAGAGAGAGAGAGAGAGAGAGAGCAAGAGATAGGGAGAGAGATAGAGAAAGAGTGAAGGTTCAAGGGAGAAAAACTGCCGTAAACTAATATAGTTTTCGTTGTTTAGGTTTCCATCAGCTTTTACCAATTTTCTTCTCCCATCGCCTTTGATGCAACCTCCACACTTTTACGTGCCAACCATCGAATTTTACCATCTTTGTGGGGAATCTTGCATTATTTCTTTCTTTCACTGGTTTCCTCCATATTCTCTTGCATTAGAATGTAACACTATTTGGCATTCATCACTAAAAATTACTTACGACACTTGCCAGCAATCTTTGTTCAATGTTCATTTGGCCACTTCAATTTTCTCTTCTGAAGCTTTTTGGTTAATAATGCTTATTTTTTACTGCTATACGCCATTTCATGTTGTTTTGGATACTGTTATCAACTATGGTCGAAACACTATAAATGTGAAGAAATACATTTTTATTGTGAAGGTGCCAGCAATGCATTTTCATAGTAAAAATATACTACCAGCAAAGCGTTTTTGTTAAAAAAAAATATTACCATTAATACATTTTTGTAAAAAAAATAACAAATACCATCAATACATTTTTGTTAAAAAAAAAACATTACCTTCAATACCTTTTTGTAAAAATATAAAAAAATATTACCATCATTACATTTTTGTTAAAAAAATAAAAATTATTACTATCAATACATTTGTGCAAAAATATTAAAAAAAATATTACCATTATTATATTTATGTTAAAAAAAATAAAAATTTTACCATCAATACATTTTTGTTAAAAAATATTACCATCAATACATTTTTGTTAAAAAATATTACCAGCAATGCATTTTTGTTAAAAAAATATTACCAGCAATGCATTTTTGTTAGAAAAATAAAAAAAAATATTGCCATCAATACATTTTTGTAAAAATAAATTACCAGCAATACATTTTTGCTAGGAAGAATAAAAATATTGCCATCAATATATTTTGTAAAAAATATTATCAATACATTTCTGTTTAAAAAATATTACAAGCAATACATTTTGTAAAAAAAAACAAATATTACCATCAATACCTTTTTAACAAGAAATAAAAAAATATGGACATCAATACATTTTTGTAAAAAAAAATAAAAATATTCCCATCAATACATTTTTGTAAAAAAAAATAAAAAATATTCCCATCAATACATTTTTGTAAAAAATAAAATAAAAATATTGCCATCAATACATTTTTGTAAAAAATAAAATAAAAAATACTGCCATCAATACATTTTTGTAAAAAATAAAATAAAAAATATTGCCATCAATACATTTTTTGTAAAAAATAAAATAAAAATTGCCATCAATACATTTTTGTAAAAAATAAAATTAAAAATATACATTTTTTGTAAAAAAAATAAAATAAAAATACATTTTTGTAAAAATTAAAATAAAAATATTGCCATCAATACATTTTTGTAAAAAATAAAATTAAAAATATTGCCATCAATACATTTTTGTAAAAATTAAAATAAAAATATTGCCATCAATACATTTTTGTAAAAAATAAAATAAAAAATATTGCCATCAATACATTTTTGTAAAAAATAAAATAAAAAATATTGCCATCAATACATTTTTGTAAAAAATAAAATAAAAAATATTGCCATCAATACATTTTTGTAAAAAATAAAATAAAAAGAATATTGCCATCAATATATTTTTGTAAAAAATAAAATAAAAAGAATATTGCCATCAATACATTTTTGTAAAAAATAAAATAAAAAATATTGCCATCAATACATTTTTGTAAAAAATAAAATTAAAAATATTGCCATCAATACATTTTTGTAAAAATTAAAATAAAATATTGCCATCAATACATTTTTGTAAAAAATAAAATTAAAAATATTGCCATCAATACAATTTTTTAAAAAATTTTTTGTAAAAAATAAAATTAAAAATATTGCCATCAATACATTTTTGTAAAAATTAAAATAAAAAGAATATTGCCATCAATACAATTTTGTAAAAAAAAAAAAACATAAAAAACATTAACCGCAATACATTTGTGTAAAAGAAAATTTGCCAGCAATAGATTTTTGAAAAAGAAATTACTAATGCTTCCAAGAAAATTCAATTTCGGCTTTAGATGAGTCATAAACAGTTAAACAAACCAAGCAAAAGCTAATTTTTAAATTGTAAGATTAATTTTTTGTCCAGTCTTTCAAATATTACTATAGATCCCCCTACCCCCGGCAAAATATTATCTTCAGTTTAAGGGGTTTTATACACTGATACGTCATATATTCTGAAAAATACTTGTGCTTGTGATAATATTTGTCTTTAGTGAATGAAGCAGTGGCATTTGTTTATTAATATCCGACGATGCTGGAATAACAACAAGTTGATATCATAAGTGTATTTCAGAAAATAATTTCCCAACCGCCTTCTTTGTATTGCGCAAAGAATCTATTGACCATCTCCTTTTGCTCTTGTCATCCAATTCACTTTTTTCTCTGTGCAGTGACCCTTCACGGTGTAGCCGATCACGGCTCTCTACATCTTCCTGTCTTTTGTTGCTCTAATTAATTTATTGACCCATTACTATCTCTTTTTGTCCTTTTCTGACATTTATTCATTCCTTCTCTGTACAGTCGTCCTTCAGGATGTAGCCGTTCATGGCTCTCCACAACCTCCTGTCGTTCGTTTCACTAAAAAACGACTGACCCATTACCATTTCTCATTGTCCTTGTTCTTCCATTCATTCACTTCTTCATGTAGTGGCCTTTCAGGATATAGTCGATCATGGCTCTCCACCACCTCCTGTCTGTCGTTGCTTTAAGTAACTATTGACCTTTTAATTTTCCTCATTATCCTTGTTATGCCATTCATTGATTTCTTTATCCTGAATTTAAGGGCGGCACTTGATTGGCGGTTACGTCTCATCATTTTGCAGTTGAAATGACGAGATGTAAAGTTCTATGCAAACAGCTGCTTTTCTCGTACTTCTCGCTTTTGGAATTCGTTTTTTTGCTTTTCAGTCAAGTTTGATCTTCAAAAATTAAAATGCAATGTCAACCGTTATCTTTTTTTATATTATTTCAGACTCAATAACACCTTGCGTCTTAGTGACTTTGTTGCCTTGCTTATAGTGAAACAGCACGATAGGTTCTCGCAACCAGCCGTAAATTCGGGTCAAGAACTGACGATTTGTTACGTCTTCTTTCTCTAACGTTTCACTTACTTCAAGTGAAGCCAGAAATCATATTTTATTTGCGAACGTTGCGAAAGTCTTAAGCGGCGACAGAAATCTCGATAGTCTAGCAAACATTATTAACCGAACCTGGAGAGTCGCACCAAACAAAGTTCTCAAGACAAATTGCATTTCTCTACAACTATTTGCCTGTCTCTTGCGACCGAAGCTGGGACACACTTGCAGAATTTCTATCAAGTTCTGGCTACTCTATTTCGTCTGTTCCCGAAACAAGACAAATTTAATTAAACAGAGTAAAGATAATGTATTGGCAACAGGTCTGGACATCTGAAACATTGCAGCTTGAAAAAAGAGAAACGCGATATATAACCACTTATGTTTGAGATTGTAAAAGTCTACTCCCAGTCTTGTGGAATTGCTTTCATGGGGAAAAAAATCAATCTTTTACTAAAAACCAATGTAGACTGCCGGTTACAATGTTTTTGGATAAGTTCTATATTGGGAATTGTTTTAATAAAAGACGGAAATTGCGACACCATAACCTGAAGGTGTATTGGTATAGCGAAAGATGCCTTCCAAAAGCTAAGGGAAGTAATAAGATACAGGGAAATTTTGTTAGGACAAAAAACAGTACCAGCATTTTATGTAATACCGGTCCTCTAAATGGCAGTGAAAATCTTCTAACAAATGAAGAAGGGACTTGAAGCAATAGAAATGTGGTTCTACAGAAGGATACTAAGAACAGCCTAAACTGAACGCATGAAAAATGACGAATTTTAGAGAAAATGATAAGAAAAAGGATATATTTAATATCGGAAAGCGACAGTTGAAATTTCTATGGCACATAATCAAAAAACAAGGCTTAGAAAATTTGACACTCACAGGGCATATGGAAGGCAAGAGGAACACTTCAATGCGGTGTAGTGGTCAGCAATCTTGCTAGATCAATTACGAATGAGTAGAGAGTTCGATCCTCACTGGGTTCCCCATACTGCGGCCTTCTACCATAATCTAAGCTACACTTGGAAAATCACCATATTGAAGACAATAGGAACAGAAGAAAACAGCGTATAACCTACTTAAAGAGTCTGTGGAAATGGTTTGCAGAACAGGGATTAGGAGAGATAACAAAAATACACATTTTTTTAAGAACTACAAAATATAGGAAATTGTGGAGAGCCATGATCGTCCACGTCCCGAAGGGACACGTCACAAAGAATAATAATAATAAGAAGAAATATTGTTCTTCCTTCTCTTGATTTTTCCCCTGTGCTAAGGACAGAACGAAGCATCAGCTAAACTACCTACGTAGTTGTGGAGAGCCATAATCACCTACCTAAGTTAGCGTGTGTAACGCGGTGGCAAAACAAGGAAGTATGGGAAAAGAAAAACATAGCTAAGACCTATAAAGTATAGGAAGTTGTGAAGAGCTATGATCACCTACTTAATAATGGCAGAACAGGGAAGTATAGGAAAAAACATTGATAAGACCTACAAAGGATAGGAAGTTGTGGAGAGCCATGATCGCCTATCTACTTAATGATGGCAGAGCAGGGAAGTGTGGGGAAAAACATTGCTAAGAGCTACAAAGAATAGGAAGTATTGGAGAGCCATGATCGCCTACATAATGATGACAAAGCAGGGAAGTGTGGGGTAAAACATTGCTAAGAGCTACAAAGGATAAGAAGTTGTGGAGAGCCATGATCACTTACTTAATGATGGCAGACCAGGGAAGTGATGGGGAAAACATTGTTAAGAGCAACAAAGAATAGGAAGTTGTGGAGAGCCATGATCACCTACTTAATGATGACAAAGCAGGGAAGTGTGGGGGAAAACATTGCTAAGAGCTAAAAATAATAGGAAGTTGTGGAGAGCCATGAACACTTAATGATGGCAGCACAGGGAAGTATGAGGAAAAGAAAAACATTGCTAATAGCTGCAAAGGATAGGAAGTTGTGGAGAGCCGTGATCACTTACTTAATGATGGCAGAGCAGGGAAGTGAGAGGGAAAACATTGTTAAGAGCAACAAAGAATAGGAAGTTGTGGAGAGCCATGATCACCTACTTAATGATGGCAGAACAGGGAAGTATGAGGAAAAGAAAAACTGCTAATAGCTGCAAAGGATAGGAAGTTGTGGAGAGCCAGATCTCCCACGCCCTGAAGGGATACGCCACAAGAAGAAGAAGAAGAAGACCCGTTTTCACCAATGGGGACCCCCCCTGTATATCTTGTTATTTAACCCATACCTTGTAAAATGTAGATTATTTCTTTTTTCCAATGGCAATAGTGTGAAATAAACAAAACCAGACTTCCATTTACGCGGGACCTCGAATTGCACTTTGTAACTTTTCAGTGATAAGGTCACGCTCTGCCTGTAAACAATTGATGGTCATTTGGGCCTGGGGACTACATCCTTAAAAGTGTATTCACCACTAGAACTATAGTGTAGTGTGTCAAAAATTAGAACTCTCTCTCATTTTTGGTGTATGTGAAGCAAATAATACTGGTATCAAAATAAACTCAATGTATTTCTCTTCAAAATTACAATAATTGCTTGATAAGTAAGGTTTCCGATCCTAGAAAATAATCTTAGACCAGATAAAATAATGAAACTGGCATCAAAATGAAATCGATTTATTTATCTTCAATATTACAATGTTGCTTGATAAGTAAGGTCTCCCATCTTAGAAAACAAACAAAAAAACAAAAAAAAACAAAAAAAACTGGCATCAACATGAAGTTAATTTATTTCTCTGCAAAATTGCCAGGACATATTCTACCGCCATTTCTTTAACTGGAAAGCGGTGTGTTATTGTAATCAGTAAAATGTATCACAAATGTCAACGTAAAATTAGAACCAGAATTTAGATCCGCAGGTCTGTCTGTGAAATCAGTCAATTCAGAGATTATGACATGATTGACAATAGAGACCTCAAACCCAGAAATGATTTGATTATAATAACTGCTATATATAATTAAAAGTGGTCTCCCTTTGTTTTGTTACTCTCCTCTTTAGGAAAGCTATTTCTGTGTACTGGAACTATAAAAGGACACTATACGCGAACCTTGTATTCTCAAATGAAAAAAAAGCTTTCTTAAAGCCTACACCTGGGTACTTTTGCCATTACAATAACATCTTTATTAATAAATTGTTTATTTACATTATTTGGACTATTGTCCTCATCGTTGTCGACATATTTATTACAAAGTTTCGGCCGTTGTACGCTCCGGCCTTCTTCAGGTGGTTGGAATGTCGAACTGAACCATTTATTTGGCTCACTGGGGTAGACTGTTCTAGTTTCACGTGCCATGTTTAATGGATGTCAGTTATCAGTTATCTCCTGTTAATTCCCCTCTCCAAGTTCTCCACTAGCTTAAACGGATATTGAAATCATACTGTTTAGGTCCTGTCACTGGATCTAACTAACGCCTTTATCCACTGTGTCATTTCTTCTCAAGCACCCAAAGAGTGTGAGTTCAATATCCGGTTAAGGCAATGGGCAACTTGGAGAGGTGAATTAAGAGGAGATAACTGATAACTGACATCCATTAAAACATGGCACGTGGAACTACAAAAATCTACCTCAGCGAGTGAAATAAAGGGTTCAGTTCGACATTCCAACTACCTGAAGAAGGCCGGAGCGTACGACGGCCGAAACATTGGAATAAATATGGCGACGAAGATGAGGACAATAGTCCGAATAATGTAAATAGTGTACATAATACCTCATCTCAGAAATATAGACAGATACTAAAGGGCTGAAACATTGTAATAAATATGGCGACAAAGATGAGGACAATAGTCCGAATAATGTAAATAGTGTAAATAATACCTCATCTCAGAAATATAAACAGATACTAGAGGGCCGAAACGTTGTAATAAATATGGTGACAAAGATGAGGACAATAGTCCGAATAATGTAAATAGTGTACATAATACCTCATCTCAGAAATATAAACAGATACTAGAGGGCCGAAACGTTGTAATAAATATGGCGACAAAGATGAGGACAATAGCCGGAAGGATGTAAATAGTGCACATAATAACTCATCTCAGAAATATAGACAGATACTAAAGGGCTGAAACGTTGTAATAAATATGGCGACAAAGATGAGGACAATAGTCCGAATAATGTAAATAGTGTACATA